TCTCCTAGATCCTCTGACTCCTCAGGATAATTCTAGTCCACAAAAATCTTACCCAGAACTATGGGGGAATTGCTGGGGTGGAATTTTACTATCCCTGGAGAGAAGAGATGGCCTGCTGGCACAGGCCTCCATGCATTTGTCTCCTTCCTCATAGTGTTCGAAAACATGGCTAGTATTCTGGGAGTTACAGTCCCCCAAAATTAACTTCCACGTTCCGTATTTTACATGGGTAACTGCTATTCCAGAATAATGTCAGTGTTATAATACTAATCCTGTGCTTTCACAGTTCCAATATAAAAAGCTAATGCTGATTTGAAAACAAGAGATAACACACCAAACATGACAAGTCGTTCCATGCAGCATTACCGCAACACAAGAGTGCAGTGATGTTATTGTGCAATGGAGAAAATCAGCATTCTATATGATAATTCTAAAACTGGGGGCAGCCCAAACTAACATTTATAACTTTGACACTGGACTCCAAATGAGCAGCAAATTTGGCATAGATGTAGCTGATAGTTGGCTCGTGCTGTGTGCCAAATTTGGAGAAATACGGGCATATTTCTTCCCCCATGTAGAGACAAGCAGTCTTCAACGTCCCTCAATTTAAAAGAGATCAAATAAACTGAAAAGACATCTTGCTTACCTTGAATGGAGCAACCATACCCACACCTGAAAAAGAGTAACTTCTTACAGGGAACTTGAAAAGTGTGGGTAGGAATACTCTGGGGATGGCCTGGTTCATGCTGTTACATACGTTGTCAGGTCACTAGTAAAAGGAGCAAACCAACCCACCCCCAGACAGACCAGTGCAACAAATTCCTGTGTAGTGAGGCACACAGTTAGAAAGCAGATTCACTGGGAGTCCTTATAGTCTCCCAAGGTCCACAAACTCTGAAAGTCCCTCCCTGTGCCCAGAAATGGACTGGCACCTAGTGGAGCTCCTGGATGTATTTGAAGTATTCCATTGATTACTTTATACATCAAGAACACAGAACTAAAACCAAAAATTGCCTAAATACAGCACAATAAATATATATGAATGACACCAATGCCCATAATTATTGAAATAGTTGCAGCTTTTATTGAAAAAGCCTTTCAGTACAGAAGTAATAGAAACATTTGGGCAGTTTTGAATCCATTCTGGATAACAGTAACAAAAACATTAATACGTTCAAACTGGATGTAACCATCAATGGTTCTATTCTGAGGCTGTTTGGGGTTTATCCACTCCATGGCATCAATTTCCTGAATGAAGTTTCTCTCTTGAAGGGCCAGGTCTCCACCGAGAAAGAATGTTACACTGCTGAGTGCTTGTACACATGTACAATGCTCTCATTACTGTTTGGAATGGTATCTAAGCAAGTACCGGATTCGATCTACAGTTTGATCTTCCCTGCTACAGACACAGCTCCATTTATTTTTGCATCTTGTACTATTGAGATCCAACTAGTATAATAAGTATGCCACTATAATTATGTGTTCTGTCACCATTACACAACCAACACATGTAAATCAGGCATATTAAAAGAAAATATTCTAATTCTGATATCTGGAGAACTTAAATCAAGTTTAATTCAGAAGCTGTGTGTGTATGTCTAATAATTTAATAAATAAATCAAACAACAATCCATTGATTTGAACATAAGTCAAGTATGAAAAATTAATATGCAGATGTGAGCAAGGGGGCAAGAGGAGACTACTTCCTGCCTGTGTGCCATCCCCTCTACCCTGGAAGGTGTGGGGATGTCCTCAGGATCACGCCTGAAGTCGAAGGAGGAAAGAGACTGGGAACAGTCATTCACATTCCTCATTAATTAGCTCTCGATACATAGCAGATGGTCTTTATGCTTGGTGTTGTTTACCAGTATATCTTTGTGATGAGTATGAACGGCAGTCCTCACGATTTTGAGGGCTTCACAGATATCGTTCTATAAGTTTGTCTCCTCAACATCGCTATTGTGGGGATGAATATGATAGATATAAATCACATTCTTGAGAGTCAATGCTCTCAATCGCCAATATCCAATATGGACTGCTTTAAATTCTCAAATAAATACCTGATAATATTCCAAATAGGCATGCATCTCAGTTAATTCAGTCAGTGCCCCAGTGGCAATTTCAATTACAAATAACATCAACCCACAAATTACACAACAGCCAAGTAATATAACTGCTTGTTGGGAGACACACAGATAATTAATGTACTGGTTCTGATGAAGAAGAGGCTGCTTTAATATCTTCTCCAGATTTGGAGGTACACGGTAATACTCCACTATCTCCTTCAGAAGATAATTCCTCATATCATGAAAGAATGACTAAACCTCTGCAGCTACAAGTTATAAAGACCCTGTTTTTGCAAGAGTGCATCATTATCATCACATCCCAATGTTGGAAACTTTAATAGATTTAATACTCAGTCTTGGAAAATGGCATCTTCAATACTACCAACATCTAAACAAATTGAATATTTTTACAGAGTTTAGGAAAGGCGTGTAAACTTTGTTTAAACATCCTTTTCAATACAGAGCTAAGGGAGTTACAAAAACTACCAATGAATAAAGAAGGAAGGAAATTAGATGCCTCAGGCAAGAAGATATATTCGACAGCTGCACTTCATATGCACATTTTTCTAATTATTAAGAAATGATGGGTGCATATGATCAGTTTACAGTATTTGGGAACGTTTTCAACCTATCATAGCCAGTTTACCTGAAGAAAAGCCTCAGGAAGAAGCTGAGCAGGGAGAGAGGGTCCCTCAGAAGTCCTCCTACTGGGGAGTGAGGGAGACAAAGGGGTGCTTTGAGGCAAGGGAGATATGCTCTACTGTCAGAGAACAAGTTGAGACCTGATATGAACTCTGGGGACTGCGGAGTGGTGGAGAAAGGAGCCACTGCTGCCATCGCCAAAGGAGTCTACACTTGGATTAAAATCCTGGGCAGAGGACCCTTGGATTGTGGATGGAGGGGGGGGGAAGTTAAAGTGGAACAATGTTCTTGGAACTCTTTCCTTTTCTAGTTGGAAAGGCAAGAGGTATTAAATATAGTTAAGTGGAAGTTGCTCCTGTTGAGCCTTCTTTAATAAATGTTGATGGTTACAAGGCAGGGAATGACTCTGGAATGGTTATCTTGAAGGAAGAACAAGGGGGGGGCATGAATATCCCACCTCCCAGCAGGCCAAAGCCACCAAAAATCAGGCTAAGTATTTTCTTCCCCCTCCAATCTGTATTCGTTTTTTCCCTATTTTTTTCAAATAGCAAACAAACACCAGCCAGTATTCCTGTCCCAGGTAAAGGTAAAGGTTCCCCTTGACAATTTTTGTCCAGTCGTGTTCGACTCTAGGGGGCGGTGCTCATCCCCGTTTCCAAGCAGTATTTTCTTCCCCCTCCAATCTGTATTCGTTTTTTCCCTATTTTTTTCAAATAGCAAACAAACACCAGCCAGTATTCCTGTCCCAACTCTACTATATCTCTCTGAAAGCAGCTGGAAAAAGCGCCAAGCTTTCTAGAAGAGAGCACAAACCAAAACTAAACTTGAAAGAACTGCCCTTCAGGGCTCAGGTATCTGTCTGTGGAGACAGATGTTGAGAGTTCGATTCCCCACGGGGCTTCCTGGGAAGCAGAGCCAACCCGTGCGGCCTTGGGCAAGCTGCAGAGTCCCAAAGGGTCCTGGGAAGGGGGTGGTAAACCACTTCCGAGTAATTCTCTACCTGGAAAACCATGAAAATAACCGCCATAATAATTGGACCAAAATAATCGGACACGACTAAACGAACACACACAATCGCCATAAATCAGACCTGATCTGACGGCACATGATTATTGTAATCTCCACACATTCATGTAGGAAAGGAAGTGGGCCAGAGGCTGCGCTTCAATGCAGGCTCCCCTGAGAGTAAACCATATTCAACTCACTAGTTTTCCCCCCGAGTAAAGAGAGCCAGCAATACCTTTTAAGGCTAGAAACGTCTGGAACCAACTTCGAATCAAGTTAATGATTAAGCAATCACGCCTAGGGCCGGATTACGTGGGTGCAGCAGTTTCCTCAGGGGAAAGAAACCCTACTCAATGCGCTAGAAGTTGGTTTTTTTTAATAAGGGCGGTTATGAAGTCACTGGAACGCTATAACCGTCCCGACATTACCTCAGGCTATCTTCAAAATCAAGAAGAGGCGTAATATAGTTGAGCCGCAAAGGGCAAGGGGGAGAAAGGCATGGTCCTTCCGCCCTGGAAACAAAGGTGATCGTCCTCCCGCCGCCGCACCTCTGAAAAACACCTCACAGGACAACGTTCTGCAACGTACTACTCCAGAGTTACGCTGCCGGCTCCTCCCTGCGGATTGGCCTGAACCCCTGTCCTTCAGAGCCGCGGGAGGCAGAAGCCCCACCTCCAAAACTCCACCCTCGGTTCCTGCCCCTGCTTCCCGGGCCCGCCTCATTCTCCCCTAGCCCGCACGAGCCGGAGGCTCCTCCCACTTCCCAGTCCTACGAAGCCCCGCCCCCTTTCTCCACGCATTCTGAGGGGCTTCTTCGTCCCCTTCTTCTTCTTCTCATGGCCGGCTTTCTCGTGGGTGCGGCTCCGCCCCTTTTCGAGCTCGCCCCGCCCCCCCTCCGTCCTAGGCCGCCGGCCGGAGTGAATAGCCAGCCCGGTCCTTGCTGCCGTTGCTGTCGTGAGGCGGGGGGAGAGAGGGCATGAGCAAGTCCTGTGGCGCTCTGGGTCTATGTGTCTCTTCAGAGCCGCCGCCGCCGGGCTGACTTCCGCCGCTGGTTCCCTTCCCGACTCCGAACCGCCCTCAGGTTTGGCCCCGGAGTTCTTTACGGAGAGGCCAGCCGCAGGAGGAGCGAGAGACACCGGGCCACTCACCGCGGTGCCTTGCCGCCGCCAGCAGTAGTGGGGACCCCGGCGGCGGCGCCTCCTTCCCCTTGCCCTCCCTTTTCCTTTCCTGCGCCGGCCGGGAGCAGCAGCAGCAGCAGGAGCAGCGGAGGCTCCTCCTCTTCCCTCTTGCTTTTTTCCCCCACCGCGGCACTCGCAGCGGCGGCGGCGGCAGCGCCACCTTCCTACCTTCCTTCCTTCCTTCTCCGGGTTCCTGGTGCTCCCGCACCGGAGAGGCACCTGCACCCCCTCCCCCGCCGCAGCCAGCGTCCGACAAGGCCGGAGTCGGCCGCGCTCGTCCCTCCGAGGTAGACCCTCTTAAACAGCGCGGGGGTCTGAGAGGATGTGTGGGAGGCGGCGGCATTGGAGTGGATTCCCGAGGAGGAGGAGGAGGAAGGCTGTGGGGAGGGGAGGAAGGTCTCCTTGGATGGTGCACAATGGAGGAGGAGGAGGAGGCAGCCATGGCCGAAGTGGAGGTGGGGGGAGGGAGGTGGAGGATTGGGGCCCTGCCTGTTGGGTGTGAGGCGTAGCGCTTGCTTTTATGAGGGAAAAGATGACGAAGGCTCGTGCCCTGCGGGTGACTGAGATGCGTGGATACGTATCTAGCGTGTGTGGGTATGTGTTTGTTTATTGTGTGTTTTCTCGGGGCAGGAAGCTTCCCGCGGAGGGCCACGTCGTGTGAACTGGAGCTCTCGATCTGGCTTTAGGGTGGGAAACAAGCGCTCTGTACTTTTCAGTGCCGTGTGTTGTGCTGGTGTTCGGGAGTGCGGTGTTGTTGTTGTAGTAGTGTGTGTGTGAGTGTGGTGGAAGGAACTGTATGTGCATAATACATGAGGGTGGAAATCGCAGAAATCCGCGTGCGCATCCTGGGTGGAAGGCGGGGTGAGGAGACAGGTTGAGATTTGGCTGCTCCTCCAAGCAGAACGCAGAAGGGAATTAGCAGCTTAATCTCATCCCTGTGAGGGACAAGCCTCAACAGACGGGATTTGTTACCGTGATAAGGAGAATGTGTTGCTGCGTGGTTGTTAGCCCTCCCCTTTTCACTTTTCTTTCATACAAAGGTAGGATGGCAAATTTTGGATGACTGATTCTTATACAGTACTTGGAAACAGGGCCATTTCCTGTAAGGATCTATCACTGTACTTATGGCTACTAATAATTGATTGCAGCACTGCAGCCAACCTTGAATAGGTCTGTTTTTGTAGGCCTACCCTTATGTTTCTGCTTGAGAGATTGACTTATTAAATTGATGACTTGTGTAGTGCAGTAAGAGCATTTACTTGGCTTCTTTCTTAAAAGTTTGGGAGGATGTGTGCTTCAGATGCAGGATGCATTTTAGTTAAATTTGTCATGGTCCAAATTCTTACCTGCAGTTTTGTTGTGTCATATCTAGATTATTTGATACACCTGAGGTTTTTTAAAAATATGGTCCTTTACCTTCCAGATTGCGAGTTTGCTTTATGTGCAAGAGATGCCATGTGTGTATGTGTGCATGTCTGCAAAAACTCCAGAATCATAATAAACCAAAATAGCACATCTGTACCAGATAATCCAACTGCATTAAAAATATATCAGAACTGTTTATTCTTTATATGCTATGTTACTAGGTTTTGTGAGTCATAGACTGGGTTATCATACTCACTATAAAATTATAATATGTGAAAGAGTTATATTTCCCCAGGTATCAGGTGTCTTCTAGAAGTATAACTTGTGAAGTAACCCTACAAGTTACACTTAAGTGAAACTACTAAAGCAGTTCTTTCATTAACATTCCTGATTTTGGATCATGAAAAATGGACGTGTATAGTATTTCACAGTTTTCAGCAATAGCAAGAGCTATTGGTCATGTTGTTATTCGGATACTTTCTGAAGCTGCTTCTCACTTCTTCGTGTCTGTAGAGCAAATTAAGTTTGAGAAGGTTTCTTACAGACTATTATTAGATGAGACTAAATAATGAATTGCAATGGTACTTCTATATTTCAGTTGCTGCTGCATAAGAATTTGCATAAAGCTTTTCATATTTCTGTTAGAGAAAATATGCAGAAACAGTGACATACTTTTACTTATGTGTAAATGAGTGGATAGTTCAGTGAGTTATGTGGAACCAGAAGTTGGGAGCTCCGTTTCCCATGGTGCTTCCCAGAAGAGCCAGGCTATATGGCTATGACCTTGGGTAAGCTGCAGTCCCAGGGTGTCCCCAGAAGAACGGAATGGTAAACCAGTTCTGAGTACTCTCTACCTAGAAAACCTTGAAAAGGGGTACCATAAGTCAGAAGTGTGAAGGAAGGAGGAGAAGGGGACAACAGAGGGTGAGATGGTTGGACAGTGTCATCGAAGTGACCAATATGAATTTGACCCAACTCCGGGAGGCAGTGGAAGACAGGAGGGCCTGGCGTGCTCTGGTCCATGGGGTCATGAAGAGTTGGGCACGACTAAACAACAACAACAAAAGTCAGAATTGACTTGATGGCACACAATTACTATTTATGAAATGTAGAATAATTTTCCTACTGGCCATTGTTAGAGGAACTGTTCTTAACAACTTTTTTATATATGCATGTATTATGGCTTTGGTGCTAGATTCCTGTAGGCCAGAGTTTGCCAATCTTTTAAAATAGGCAAGTAATCTGTGACCAATCCAACTTTTGGATAGAAAGGCATTTTTAATGGGGTAATATCATCCCGTCTCAGGAAGTAGAGGCTTCTTTATCCCCCAATGGGCCTGCTTTTCTTGCATACATGTACACATTAACTTTAATATCCAACTGTGAAAGGTCAAGGAAGAAATTATTTAACAAGGGCTACAATACAATTAATGTGACCTGCAACCCGCCAGAAAACATGTTGCAACCTTCTAGGGCAGTAATGGCAAACCTATGGCACGTGTGCCATAGCTGGCACACAGAGCCCTTTCTTTGGGCATACTGTACAAGTCATAAGTCGCCAGATAGCTATCCCCCCCCCCCCCCGCCACCCCAACACCCACACCGCGGCGCCCCCAACCCGCGCAACAGGCAGTGGGCCAGGACCTGGAGCAGCTGGTGCTGGCGGCAGATCTAGAGTGGGGTCTTGAGGCACCTCCATGCCCCGGGATTCCCCCTTCCTCCACCACTTCTGGTTCCGCCACTGCTGTGGCCTGCTGGGTCCACACCACCATTTTGGGCACTTAGGCCCAAAAAGGTTCACCATCACTATTCTAGGGGATCATGACTCCCAAGTTGGGAAACAGTATTCTAGGCAAAGAGCATGTTTGAATGTCATGGTAGCGGATGAAAACTTTGGTTTATCATGAAGTGCTAGGTTTCTGGTGCACCACTCAAATTGCTTCAACTGTGAGCTTAGTGCTTTTCATAATGACCAAACCCAGCATTCTGCCATGTCTGTTTCTTGTTTCTCTTGTCTGTTGGATGAAGAGGTTGGAATGGTGGGTTTAGATTGCAGTACAGATTATTTATGGAACAACCTGTAGTTTGTTGAACTACAGTATTTCTCCTTGCAGTGGGATCATTTGGGAAACACTGATTCTAAACAATAAGGAAAGGTTTCCTTTCAACCTTGTCTTGTGGTGACATGCAAACCCAGCCAGTAACTAAGAAAGAATGAATAAAAAGTAATTGTGAAACATATATGCCAGCATGGTATGGGAATTCAGTTTATTGATACAGTACAGTACTTGATTTCCATATGGACATACCAAGAAGGACCTCTACAGGTCTCAAAAATGTGTATCTCAATCTAGTAATGCCAATTCATATGTTTCAGTTGTGTGTGCATGCTCCTTCTGGTAGTAGTTGTGTTTAATACTAAAAAAAAATTTCAACTGTTCTTTAAGGCGATGTGACACAGCATCGTATTTCATTGATTGGCCAGTTAGAATGCATATGAGGCCCATAAAACGAATATTGAAACAGTTTTCTTTTATGTTTGCTCCCCAGGATCTATGTACTATTTACTAACACAATATCTGATTGTTTGTTTTGAGAATTTAGAACTTAAACCTTCCTCCAAAAATGTCAGTAGATTGCTTGTATAAGAGGAGGTGAAGATTAATTCAGGTCCCCCTTCTCTAGTACATGAATAATAATATCAGAGATTTCCATACTGATCATCTAGTTGTTGGACATGTATGCCAATTTGAATTAATTGATACTAAGCAGAAAACTTTCTAGAGACTTGAAAGCTCCATAAATCAAAGTTATGCACAACAAGCCTTCCATGCTAGAGAACAGAAATATACAATATGTTCCATTGCTTCAAGTCAAGGTTGTGGCTGCAGTGACTATCTCCTTACGCAGTACAGTATTATGGAGATCTACATATTATGGCTCTGTAAATCCCTCCATGATGTAGTAGTGATACAGATATATCCTGGCTGTGACATAAACATCAGTGCATAATGAAGCCATCTTTAATACAGTGGGGTCTCTACTTAAGAACTTAATCGGTTTTGGAATGGTGTTCTTAAGTTGAAACGTTCTTAAGTTGAAGCAAAATTTCCCATAGGAATGGACTGAAAACCAATTAATCCGTTCTGGCTGTTTTTTTGTTATGTAGAGGTGCGTTCGTACATTGAAGCATTAGTTCCCATAGGAACTAATGCAAAGCTGGTTAATACGTACTCTACCACTAGGGGGAGAATTTTTTTTAACCTAAGATGACCTAAGGTTAAAAAAAGAGCAGAAAAGGTTTTTTTTCCTGTTCTTATCTTGGATTTCTGTTCTCAAGTAGAAGCAAAATTTAGCAAATGGAGCTGTTCTTAAGTTGGATTGTTCTTAAGTAGGGACGTTCTTAAGTAGAGCCCCACTGTATGAAACAGTTTGATACAGAAAAGTTTGTATCTTGTTTTGCATGTGATAAAATCATGGTTGCTTTTAGTCAGTAGTAGTAACATCCTATAATATTAAGAACTAAGGAAAACTACCTTGTAGAAATTGATATCAATTTTTAAAGTTAAGTGATTTACATACATTCATTGCAGAAAGAATATTAATTGTTTGGCATACCTTTAAGAAAAAAAGGCTGAATAGTTTTCTGATACTTGTTTTAAACATTAGTACAACTGCTTCTTTAAATTATCACTTCTGATTCTTTTTTAAAAAATGAAAATATTTAAGCAAAATCTTTGTCTCAAGTATGTAGTTAGCATGTTATAGTTAATTTTTATCTAGATCTCAACAGTTCTTAGTAGAGCATATTTTTTAGAAACATTTGATATGCAGTGCTTGAAGTATTTAGGACTCTGGAAATCTGAATCCAGATCCTCATTTGGTGTTGGAAGTGAGATAACAACTACAATCACAAGGAGTG